GGCTTTTAAGGGGGGTAAAAGATAATTATGCAAGACACTTTCACTCAAGATGCCATCCGCGATCAGCAGTGACGAGTGGGATCTCCCGCGCTTGAAAGCCTCAATCGGCTTCGAGGTGAGGCTAACTAAACGGATATGTTTTCCAGTGGCTCAGAACATGTGTTGACCGATCATTGTCACCTAGGACGATTACCAATATTTAGCATCCGACGATCAAGATACCGGTAAGGCATATCGTAACGCATTGCCAAGTGAGATTTCTCTGACCTTTGCCGTTAGAGTTCTTTGATGTGAAATTCTATCCATACGCAGACGTCACACACGATCCAGTCTTTGCCGCCGTCAGCAAAAAACATGTTGTCATATATCGGCTTTCCAATAAGGCCAATCCCCCTTACGAGCTCGTCCAGCTTTTCAGGGATGACGACGTGAGTTCGCCACCGCCTGCACCAGAAGCCCCGTTACTTACAATCATGTAGAAGGAAGCCTTGAATTGCAGCTGCACTTGGACTAAAGACCCTGAGACCGAAGTCCCCTATTTATGCGTAGCCGGCAGAGACGCCAAAATCAAGGTCTACGACGTTGTTCAGGGGAAGTTAGTAAAGGTAAGGCGTTATTGGTACTCGACTGTATAAAATTGCGGCTAACGCTTTGCATAGGTCCTCGTAGGTCATGGAGGAGTGAGTTTTGAAAAGCAGACTGTTCGAGATATGAGGCTAACAATTGTTGGAGGAAATCAATGATCTTGCTACGTGCCCAACCAATTTCCTTTTGATCGCATCCGCGTCAGAAGATACTACTGTTCGAATATGGAGCCTCGATCCTGCACACTCCAAGCAGCCATGTGTTTGCCTCCTTGCCGGAGAAGGCCATTCGTCAGGGTTGTTGACCGTCGTATGTATCCTCGGTCTATCTTGTAACTCTTTCATTTTCTAACACATCTTAAAGGCATTTCACAATAGTGGTCGATACGTTCTGTCTGCTGGTCATGACAATGTCATATGCTTGGTAAGAAACCAACTTCCACACTGAATACAATTCCTTAACATATGACAGTGGACACTTCCGGACTTGCCTCCTCAATCTAACGGCAAAGCCCCCTCGAAACCTATTGTAATCCATTATCCTCATTTTTTCACATCTGAGGTGCATAGCGGTATAGTAGATTGGTAAGTTAACATCCTGTTACATAACCCCTTCGGAAAGGTTACTGACGTTGATATGTAGTGTGGCTTTCTTTGGCGATCTTGTTCTTTCGCGAGCTTGCCACGAAGACATAATAGTTCTATGGCGGATCGAGGGGTTCTCATCCCGTGACCCTCCGCCCGAGATTTCCGAGGCGCCCACCACGAGTGATACAGAACGCCTAACCCGCTCTGCCTTTGCTCCTGCAACAGCATCAGCGTGTCCACCTCAATATACTCGACTGCTAGAGTTCTGGACGCCACATTGTGGTCACCAGTTCTATCTTCGTTTTAAACTGTTTCATGACAAGGATAAGCACCCAGTACTAGCATTCGGTAACGCGAAGGCCATGATCTTCTTCTGGGATCTCGCACGCCTAGGAAGCTATCACAATTTCATCAGCGAAGTACGGGATCCAGACCGCGATAAGTCTCAACCAGTCCATCGCCCAGGGTGGCTAGCGCCGATTCAGCATAGACATAAGGGTGATGCTGTTAGTAAGCTCAAGGATGCCGCTAGCGATAGGGAGTCAGTTGCATCGGGGCGCACCGGCAGCGTCGACGTCGAAACGCATTTGGACCTGAACACGAACTATTCCCAGGAGACAATAGAATCCTGGGAATTGAAGTATGATATGACACGTGTGGAGGAACCCATAAGAGCACATTTGCAGAGCAACATCACCGTCAAGGATTTCGTCGGGCGCCAAGTTGCTTGGAGTGCTGGTGGCGAATGGTGCGTTGTGGTAGGCAGCAAGAATCTTGCTATCATCTTGCAGCGGTGGCATAAGAAGGACAAAGCAGATGATAAGGAGAAGAAGTCAGCCAAGAGTACCAAAAGTGAAGGGAGCAGCGAGCCTATGTAGGATCCAAGGTGCTTCAGGTCCGCTATTTAATCTTCCCGAATCCCCCCCTAGCCATTACTTTATCTAGGCCGGTACATTGTATACCGGTATAATGTTAAACTGTGGACTTTAGTTAAGCAAGCATCCATTGAACGCGTATTTCAGGACATCACGCGTAATTAAGCCTGGACATCTTTTAAAGGAGATGTGAGACATTCTGTATTAACTCCAAAATCTCAGCTAACTTAAAGGAATGGCGATGTTGGTAATTCATATTTCCCCCCATTAGACCCTCCTCGACCATCCACCTCATCATACTAAAATTCCAGAACATGAAAACCCCTAATTAACCACGGAGATGAAAGCTCGACTTTTTTCTAGCAACTTGACAGTTACCCAGTCGTCGAGTCGTCTTTCTTACAACCCCTAACTGATGCAGTAAGGTAGGTCGTTGATGTACTCGCACCAAGCGTCAGGACCGCAGTCTCCGCCATCCTGCAAATAATTAGCTATCGAAAGAAGCACCACAGATATGGATGATACTTACAATGTACCAGCCGTCAACATTGCAGACAAGCCAGCCTGAGAAGTCGGACTTGCAAGCGTATGCTGGGGGCGTACACTCCAGATCTTCTATAGCGGTTTCATTGTAGTTTTCGTTCTCTATCTTGGCTAGGGCCGCCGTGATAAGGGCCACAAATGCGAGGAACTTCATCTTCGAGTTGGTAAGATATATTTCAGGTGGATAGTAAAGGCGTTGGATGTTTGGTTGTTGGGATGAGGATGCTCTTGTCGGTAAGAGATATATTCTCTTCTTGGATACCCCTCTTATATACAAGAAGAACCGCACCAAGGGCTCTCGTGGCAATTCATCATGAAGCAGCTATTCGAGCGCCGTTGAACGCTCGTTCTCCTCAAGGTTCACTATAGTGCATAACGTCGTAATCTGTCCGGGAAATGTGGTGATGACTCGGAAGCCAACCCGGTCACATGTATGGTCGAACTGAAGTTCTGTTCTACTGGGAATCGTGCCTAGAGTATACGGTTAGGCTAGACGTAGCTTCAACTACCGTTATGAAACTCGATAGATGATTCCTAACCCGGCGCGATGGGAAATCATCAGGGTATCCGGACGCAAGACCGGGGCAGGCCGGTGCGATCCGAGCTACGATCCATATGGCTCTATACTTTAGGCGCCGTGCTAAGTGGGATGTCTCCATGTGACGGATTTTGCACTGACATCTAGTCCCGTCTGTTCGAGGCGGTTACCTAACAGTGTAATTGCCTCTAGTTCTTTATGAGAAACTTGCTAGAATTATAGTCAAAGGTCTTTGAACTCTTAATCTACGAATCCGATACGGCGTTTTAGGCATAGATCGGGATGCCGTTAGCTTACCTATGCCACGCGGACACGAGTTGTTCACGTCGTAAGCACGGAACCTGCTATGGCCTCCTGGCTTGTCGGCATACGGTCAGATAATATTCAATACTAGTAGAACGCACGTTTGTTTTAATGTTAGTCTATAGCTCAACTAGCGTAACTTTTAAGCTAGAAATTAGCAATGACACTCTCATCTACGCGTCGAGGAATACTCGCAGGCGAACCTCCTACCTAGCTTGCAACACTTACAGCTAGAGTCGCCCGCATAGTAGCGAAGTGATTATAGCCTCCCCTTTTCTTGTTCTCAATACTGTGATAGTATGCGAAAGAGTATCTGAAACACTGGGTGCGAGAGTCAAGAAAGCTTGATCTACAGAGTGATTCGAAGTAGTATCGGAGATTATCACGCCAATGAAGTAACGAGTTTGGGGAACTGGATACGGAGCTCTGTCTCGTTCAACCATATTCTAACATATATGATGACATCAGATATAACGTTATCTCGAGGCCGAAGAAAAGCAACCTCTACTTGGGCTAAGAGGCGAAGGAAAGAGCTCCCCCGAGAGCTTCTATCGTGAACATAAGTACATGATGTATCCAGTAACTCGCACCTACTTATATAATAAAGTTAAAACACCAAGATCTACCTAGGAAGGAGCAGGCAGCTAGTAGTCTGATTCTTACAAGGAGAAATCTCTTCCTGAGTGTTTCTTCTGCGAAATCCCCCCCTGTTCATTTTTTCCTAAAATCATCCCCAAGTTCAGATATTCGTGAACATACTGAGTGAACATTCCTCTCCCTAGCTCAGTCAATATACGCTCCTCTAGGTTCAACCCTCTATTTCAGTAACTACAATACGCACTTTCTTACCTTTCTTACCTTTCCTGCAATTTTCTTACATGGACTAACTCAATTTCTCCAATGGCCTTCAATCTCAGCCATTCATCTTCCTTAACTACCTTAGTTCTTAGTAATTCTCTTGAAGACTTACAAGTTCCTTTACACAGCCTATGCTTATGGGGACGACATATTTCAGCCTTTCTTAAACCATGTCATATTATAATCTCTGTTATCGGCCAATTGAAACTATCTTGCAAGCCATGTGGTTTATACATACCTTAGGTGCCTACATAGGTAGCCAGGCATTGTCTACTAATTGGAAGTAACGAAATTACCTACCTAACATCCGCGTCAAGAAATATCGATTGTGTCAGATTAGAAGCGAGTGGCCACAATGACTCGGCTTCCGTGCCTGGTTCCTTTACTCAGTCATGGTCTTAGCTCTGCCATGGCGCATATACACGTTCTTCTTTCGATGTGTCGAGCTTGTCGCCTTCGATTTCGTGGGGTACTATAACGACGCCCAGGACGCCTAGCGGCCAGCCACTTCTTTGTGGAGCCATCCATGGATACGGAAGCTTGCTGCCTCCTCGGCGCGGGGTTTTGGATACAGTGCAGAGATTACAGAGGCAACACATTCTTACTGTCCAGCTAAACAAAAGCTTATAGTTTGCAAAAAATCGCGCACCCTCACGAACCAACCACAATTTCGACAAGTCGATTGTGGTGTGACGCTGTTTATGCAGTACGGGGCTTGTGGTTTAGTGGTATAATACTCCCTTAGCACCGTTAGATGCATTATCATGCAGTCTTGCAGCAAAATGTCATCGAACAATCGCCTGGGAGTGGTCCGGGGTTCGATTCCCCGCGAGTCCATCGCAGGAGGTTAAAATCCTCCTATACCATCTCTTTTTACATTTTTTACAGATTTTTTTTTGGTTTCTAGAAGTCTCCTTTTTACAGATATGTTGCACCTACGATTATCAAAATGTCTGCATTATCACAGCTGATACGCTCTTTCCCTTGGGATTTTGCGGCGGGGCAGAAATAGCCTTCATCTATGACACGGTGTAAAGTGGCTACAAGCAATTATGCCGTCTCAGCAGAGATATCTTAGTAATATAAAGTTTTCCTAATTATATTCGGTATTGTTGTACACACCATATCCAGTTACACATGAAGCTATTGGCGATATCGTGCGACAGCATACTGACCTTGATAATTTCATCGCATATCTAGTAAGTATTGTCCGCTACGTTACAATCCAAGCGATGACAGCTCTAGGGCTCTCTTTTAGCACAATAAACATGGTACCTAGAGGGATAGCACAAAAAGAGCGGTATGCGTTCGAGCCTATCTAGGTCACACGATAAGTTAACCGGAGACACTTTACGAAGTAGCACGGCAATAGAAATAGAAAAATGATTCGGACAGACCGCCAATTCTAATCGCAATTGTTTGTACTTAACCACACGTGCTTTAAGGATAGTAACTTGACCTCGGGTACTCGCAATAGTGTGTTAAATATAAATATCACCATTTTACAACCACTGGCAGGCTGGTAATCCTCGATCTGGATGAGAGTCTAATAAGCGAATATATGAAACACTCGTTCATCTATGTAGGATGTTGCCCGGCAATGAAGGAGCAATTTAGTCTGCGCCTCTCATCTACTTTTAACAGCTAAATAGATGCTTGTTAGTTTACTACTAGGTAGAATATACTAGTACCTAGTTTTCATAATGTGCCTGACTTGATAATTATACGAAAAGTGGAAGAGCTCGATATAATTTTCATGATATTGTCCTATGTAAGATAACTTTCGCACAACGATGACGTAAATAGACCTGCAGTAAAAGTCATTCCTCATCCGCATAGTGAAGGTTATATTGGCTCGGTTCAGTGATAGTCAATGAATTGTTTAGAGATAAAAATAGAATCTTCAGGAATTCTAATACAGTCGCGCGGCAAGCAAAGACGGGAATATAAATGAACTGACCATTACCCCATAAATAAAAGGATCCACACCTTACCATTACAGGGGTTTTTTGGTGAAGGCTTTTCACCGGACCATACCATTGTAAAGCTCAGTTAATCATTGTAAAAAAAGCATTTAATTAACCATTATAAAGTTATAAAATTATAAAGTTATAAAGTTATAAAGTTATAAAATTATAAAATTATAAAATTATAAAATTATATTAAAAATTATAAAATTATAAAAGTTTTTTATAAAATTATAAATAATAATATAAATAATAATGTAAATAATAATGTAAATAATAATGTAAATAATAATATAAATAATAATTATAACGTGTTTTTAAAAAATATTAAATATTTAATAAATATTTAATAAATATTTATTATTATTATTTATTTTTAATTAATATTAATAAATATTTAAAAAATATTTAATAAATATTTATTAATAAATAATATTTATTTATAATAAAAAAATAATAAATATTTAATAAATATTTTTTAAATATTTATTAATATTATTTAATTATAATAAATATAATAAATATTTATTAAATATTTATTAAATATTTAATATTTTTTAAAAATATATTATAATATTATTTATATTATTATTTATAATTTTATAAAAAGTTTTTATAATTTTATAACTTTTAATATAATTTTATAATTTTTAATATAATTTTATAATTTTATAATTTTATAACTTTATAATTTTATAATTTTATAATTTTATAATTTTATAATTTTATAATGTCAGGGTATAGGTGGATAGTGTAGTAGTATACTAGTATAGCTCTCGTGTGGGCCTAGCGAGGCCCCAGCGCAGCTGATGTGAGGTGTATATAAGGGGGCTTCGCCCCCTTACACATTGAAGAAGCTCAAGCGTTAATAGATCACCACTACTTCACTGTTGGTTAACAGTTGATACACTTCGTTCTGGCATTCACTCTATGTATGACAACCTAAGGGGCCCACATATTCTGACAGTTTAACGCTTTGCACCCATCATCGCAGACCGTTTGCCAGGAACACCTACTTCGAAGGGATCGAGAAGAGATCGAGAAGAGACGAGGAGAGAAGAGACGATGAGGTTATCGGGATGGGAGGACCGCGAGAAGTAGGGAGAATACGGCAGTTTGCCAAGAGAATGGCGAATACGCGGCGACCCACTTCCGAGTGAAGATCGGAGATGAGAGGAACGTCCCCTATCCCCACATGGCTTCAGCGATGGATCCGCTAACGAGTTAAGCCCAGATCGAGACCGACCTTAAGGGGCAGCGTAGACCCCTCGAGGCTAGTGTGTGTTACCATTTACACTACTTTATCCTGAGTGGGTTGTTAGACCCATAGTGGCAAACAGCGAGGTGGCTGTTTGTTCGCGCATCCTGGGGGGTTCGGAGCTGACCGGGGCTCCAGTGATTGGAGTCTTCGGGAGAGCTCGGCCCTCTAGGCTTTCAGCGTGTGGTCAGCAGCGAGGGAGCTGTTTATACGCGCGCGCACTCTGGGGGGTTCGGAGCTGACCGAGGCTCCAGTGATTGGAGTCTTCGGGAGAGCTCGGCCCTCTAGGTCTTTAGCGTGTGGCCAGCAGTGAGGCACAGGTGACTGGGGTGCGATGCCCTAGGAGCAGTTCAGCAGCAGCCAGCAGCTGGGGTAGATACCTGAGGTGGCAGCTGTTGCACAGGAGCGAACTGCCTGACACTGGGGGTGAGATGCTTCCAGTGGGCAGCGAGCTAGTTGCTAGCGCCTGGGGTGAGATGCTCCAGGGCAGCAGACGTCGAACAGGCCAGCGCCCGTGGTAGATACTCGGGGCGGCAGCGGTTGAACTGGTGACTGGGTTCGATGCCCTATCACGTACACCGGTGAGGGAGAGGCGAGGCCCCTGAGCGGGCAGTGAGAAGAGTTACGAGAGGGAGAGACAAGGATTGATGCGAAGTTGCGGCGATGCAGCCGGTGACCTGGCCGGGACGGATGGCAGCTATGGGACGCGTATCCTACTGCCGGACGTCAGGCTAGGGGACATATCACGGTCGAGACAGGTGGCAGCTAAGGGGGAATCCCCTACTGCCGGACGTCAGACTAGGAGACACCTTACGGGCGAGTGAGGTTCGAGGCCCCTGTGCGGGACAAGCAGAGAGACGGCTGGTACCTTACCAGGCTTTCACATTGCTAACACTAGAGCTATTGAGCTACAGGACAGGTGGCAGCTAAGGGGGTATACCCTACTGCCGGACGTCAGGTTGAGAGATAGACACCTTCCGAGCGAGGGAGAGTCGAGGCCCCTGTGCGGGACAAGCAGAGAGACAGCTGGTACCTTACCAGGCTTTCACATTACTAATACTAGAGCTATTGAGCTAAGGGGGTATACCCTACTACCGGGCTTCAGTGCACGAGGAGCGAGGCCCCGGTGCGGGAGCAGCTAGCCAAGCTACAGATGAGAGGAGAGACAGTTCATTCTTCCCCAGAGCCATAAGGGTTACTGTCTGGGTTAGGTAGCAGTGGATTCGCCACAGCGTCACCATTACCTGCCATGGACCCTCCGCCGCGAGCCTTGGCCCTTCCAGAGCGTGTTCGCGGAACTGGCGCAGCTGGTACAGCTGGCGTTGCCGGGCTAGGGTTCAAGGCCTAAGATGTGAGGGAGGTTAGCTGGAGATACACTGGTGGGTAGAAGGGGATGTAGCCTACCGAGGCTTGTACGATGACCTTGAGTGACTCGAGGACCTGGGTGAGAG